GATTGAAAAGCAGGACCATGTTTTTGCTCCTTCTGAAAAACACTCCTTTCCATCAGTGATAGACAACACCTATAAGATGAATGGATGAAAAAAGGTATTCCAAACAAATTGAGCTAAGAAACAAGTAGGCATATTTATTGTAACATCAGGCAAAATAGACTTCCAGTTATAACTAGCCAGAACAGATAAGGAAATTTACTTCATACTCATTAAAGCAATAATCTGCCAAGAGGATACTAAAATTTTAGACTTATACTGACCAACAAAAGCATCTAATTGGATTAAAACAACAGCAACAACAACACAGTGCTTGATCTAAAATCATAGATTAATTCCTGCATGGTGATTACAATTCTCTATTCTCACCAATAGGTTATCTGAACAAAATCTAAACAGAGAAACATCATAAATAAACATCATGGTTTAAATAGATACAATAGTCACTTACATCTATAGAACATTATAGACAAGCACTGAAGAATACATATTTTCCTCAGTGCTCCCTGAAAATTTCTCAAATCAACCCCATATAGGACACAAAGAAAGTTTCAACAAATATAGGAACATTGAAATAACATCCTATGTTCTATCAAACTACATGAGATAAAAGGGCTAGTTATAAAACTCAAAAGAAACTATAGAAAATGCCATTTCCTCCAGGCAGTCCTAGACCCTCCCCCAAGAGTCTAGGGTGAGAGTGCATCTCTCTTTGTTGGATGGGAGCCCAAAGTCCATTTGTTTAACCGGGATAAATACTGATCTACTACCCAAGGTTCAATAGATTGCCTAGGCCTCCCACCGACACCCACATTCAGGGGGTCTTGATCAGTCCCATGCTGGATTCCCAGGCATCAGTATGGGATTCAAGAGCTAACCCTTGCAGGTCAGCTGTTTCTGGGGGTTAAACCAGCCCAGTCTTAACCCTTTTGGTCATCAGTCCTCCCTCTCATATTTCTGAATAACTAGGTCAAGGAAGAAATCAAGAAAAATAAAAAATTTCTTTGAATTAAATCAAAATAAAAGCACAACACTGCAAAATTTATGTGACACAAAGGCAGCCCTATGAAGAAAGTTTACTGTAGTTAGTGCCTAACATGAAAAAATATTCAGGAATTTTGTAGCACTGGTTCATTTCTAGTTCATTTTCTGCTTCATGATTGAAGATGTGATCCTTCTCTGGATCCAATAAGCCATGTCTCCCCCAATACTATAGACATTCACTCTATAATGCTAAGCCAAAATAAACTTTCTTATATTCAAAAAGTTTTTAGAAATCTCAAATTAATAAATGATGTACCTGAAGACTTTATAGAAACAAAAGAAACATCCCCAAACAGTCAATAGGAAGAGAAAATCAAATTCATTGAAATGTATGAACATTAATAAATAAAAATAGTCAGTGAAATGAAGACTTAATTCTTTGAAAAGATTAACAAAATTGATAAGCTTTTAACTAAACTAACCAAAAAAAGTGTCAAGACTAAAATCTAAGGTCAAAAAAGAAATAGTAGTCATTGAGGCAATTTAGAGAATAATCAAGACATAATTTAAATATTTTATTTCACTCAACTGGGAAAATCTCAAATAGGTTGTTGAATTTCTGGATGTACATGGCTTCTGAAGGTAAATCAAGATGAAATAAACACTTTAAACTGGTGTTTAGAATCTAATTATATAGACACAGTAAGTATACATTTCCCAATTTAAAAACTGTGGGACCAGACAGATTCAGTACAGAATTCTACCAGATCTTCAAAGCACAAATACTCTTTAAATCATTCCATAAAATAAAAAAGGAACACCTCCATATTCTTTTCACAAAACCAACATTTTCCCAATATCCATACAAAGTAAATACTAAACAATAATTAGAATTATAAGGAATTTTCCTGGTTACCTACCATAGATGTGAATTTCTTAATAAAATACTTGAAAACTGAATTTAAAAAAAACATATCTAAATGATCATTCGCCATGATCAAATTTGATTTGGGCCAGATATTCAAAGATGGTTTTACATATGCAAATCAATTAGGATAGTAACCATACACAAATATACTCAAGGATATAAATCTCATGATCATATCCTTAGATGCAGGATATGTCCACTGTCTTTTGTTCTCTATAATGAAATTTCTTGCAATATTAGAGTAGTAAAAGAAGAGCTAACAAAACAAAGATAGCTAAGAAATGAGGAAGTCAAAATTTCCTTGTTTATAGATGATATGATTCTATAAATAGAAGTCTCTAAAGACTCTAACACAAAACTCCTAGAGCTGATAAACTTATTCAATAAGTAACAGTTTATAAAATTTACACACAAAAATAAGTAGCCTTATTATACACACAAAGCAAGCATGGTGATACCCATAACAATGCTTAGGTGTTAGGAATTTCTTTGGATATCTTGTGTCTTTTGTTTTGTTTGTTTTTTATTTTTATTTTTATTTTTTTTGGTTTTTCGAGACAGGGTTTCTCTGTATTGTTTCAGAGGCTATCGGTCCAGCCCGGCCTCGAACTCACAGAGATCCACCTGCCTCTGCCTCCTGAGTGCTGGGATTAAAGGTGTGCGCCACCACCGCCCGGCTCTTGTGTCTTTTTTGTTTTCATATTAAATTTGAGTTATTTTTCCACATCTATGAAAAGTTGCATTGGAAGGTAAGTGGGTATTGCATTGAATATATAAATTATTTTAGGTAGGATGGCCATTTCACAATATTAATCCTACCAATCCATAAATATTCGGAGTTCCTTTCATCTTCTAGTACAATCTCCAGTTTATTCAGTGTCTTGCATTTTCATCACATGAATTTTTTTCTTACAAGATTTTTGATGCAATTTTGAATGATATTGTTTCATTGACTTCTTCTACAGAGCAGTAAAAATAAACAAAAATTTTCATAAATGGAATAGAATTCAGAACCCACATGTAAGCCCACACTCCTACACTGACATTATTTTTGACAAGTAGTTCTAAAATACACATTAGAGAAAGGAAAGAATATTCAACCAATATGCTGGTCAAGCTGAATAGAAGAATGAAACTGGACATCTATCTCTCACCCTGCATAAAACCCAACTCCAAGCTGGTTAAGGATCTACATGTAAGACTGGATACTCTGAATCTTATAGAGGAGATATTATGAAGCACACTTGAAGTTATAGGTTGGTAAAGAATTTTCTGAATAGTACCAGTTTAGTCTATATTCTTTGGTGATCAAAAATTAGATATACCTGAAATATCTACACTTACTTTGGCTATAAACTTTCTTTATTCATCTGACATAAATGAGTTATAAAATGTTTTATTGATGATGTTATTGTTGGGATGACAATAGTAAATCCTCCTAAAGTGACTACTATCATGAGTGAATTTCATTTGAATAAATTCATTATAGCCTGCTTACTATAATGAATGTATAATTCAGTTATGTATTTGTGTTTTTTCTTTTATTGAAAATAGATTTTATTTTCATACAATATATTCTGGTTTTATGAATCTTTAAAATTTACAGCAAGCTAATTAAATCTATAACTTTAGAAATTGATTGTGATTGCTAATGATTTTCATTAGTCTAATAAATTAGCTATCAGGAAATGATATAGACTGATAATGACATAGGGTAAGTGATATGGTAGAGATACATTTTACCACTGTGGGGGGGGGCAGCCAGCAACAATGATTGGATGCTTAGTCAGTGTTTATTTGTACTCATTTAGTAATGTCCATAAATGAATTAATAGTAATGTATGAAAATAATTTACATGTATAAACAAGCATGCATGTTATAGTTCCAAACAACTGCACAACAATCTCAGGTCTGTAATTTGAACAGGATTCCTAGGAAGAGTCCTTCTCTATTCCATACAGTGTCAACTGCTTTTTCATGCAATCCTGGAAGCAGAGAATCAGGAACCACCAAGTCTTACTCAGCATCTAGTACTTGATCATGGCTATCAGCTGGACCCTTGCTGAGGATGTCATCTGGATATTGCTGTAAGTATTCACAGCATAGTTCCTGTATTCCAAGAGCTTGGGTTCAAGAGAGCAAAAAAGCAAGGCCCTTGGAATTTTGACTTTGCCTTGGAGGTTGCACGGCATCATTCCTGGCATGCTCTGTTGGCTAAAGCAGGTACAGAGCCTGCTCGATTTTGACATAAAACCTGTCATATAAACTAGGAATCTGAAGGTTACACTGCAAGAGGAGCATGGCAGATTCTATGCATTCCATACTTTTGTATGCTATGTGGCACAACTTTATGTTTAATTCAATGTTTAAATTGAATTTAATATTTAATATTAATCATACGCTATACTTCTGGTCACTATCTAACTTTAGGAAATACGGTTTTCAAACATATTCATCTCATCAATACGACACCACCTGACAGAACAACATAGGTTACTCATGTCCTATAAGATTGCTCACATATATTCAGCAAGCTTTTAAAGTGGCAAGGACAAAGCATTGCGTGAACACTGCTGAAAAATGTGTCACTAAAAGGAATGCTCATTCAATCAATATTGCATAAAGAAGGATATTGAAATTTGATAGTGTTTTTTTCTAGTTATTTAAAAAATTCTTGTGCCTTTTGGCTTTATAATAATCTGATTATATATGTCAGAATACAGGTGTTTTAGGATTGTTTTCAGGGGTTAGGTTTTATTTTCTCTGATGCAGGGCTTGTGCTTTAATAGTTTATTCACTTATGTTCTCCAAGCTCATTCAACCTCTTCCTACTATACTATATGCATTGTATGATATCTTATGAATTACATTATTTATATTTATTATGGTTGCTTGTAACTTTAGGTAGCAAGTTTCTTAAGGGTCAGAACATCTTTCTTCTATCACATGATAAACCTATATGTATTTGTTGAGAGATTGCATGAGAACCTAAATGCCTAAATGGTGTTAATCCCTTTCAACTATACTTTTCTTAAAAGAAAAAAAAGGTTATCCCATGAAAATGATGGAACTTCGCTTTATTAACCTCAATTACCAGAAAAAAATTTATTGAGCTTTAGATCAGAATAAGCAGATATATTCTTATGTTTAGTTCTACATATGCTGTTTCCCTATTCTAACTGTGTGGTTATTCCAGTGTTCTCTTCCTTTTTTTTTTTTTTTTTACAAAAAAAGAGTAACATTAGATATTTGTTTTTAAAATAGCACAAAACCTTGAGGAGATATGCACACATTATCTCTCCCCATCCTAGAAACGGGAAGGAGCTGGCCACACAGTCTCAGAATCCAGGGTAACATGTATGGGTCTGTTATACATGTTTAAGAATGTTTCTGGATCCATGAATTCTTCAGCTTTGCATAAATACTGGATAGTTTGTTCTGGGAGGAGGAGGTCAGGGGCAGCTTGGTGCAAGGTGTCACCTGGCCCTTTCGTACCCACTTTGATGGTCTTAAAAAGGTGGAGTGCCAGTTTGTGAGTCATGGTGAGAAAATCTGTGATGACTTCTGCTAGAGACTGTGACTGCGTCACATCATCTAAATACAAAACAGGGACTTTGATGACAGAGACATGCCACTGCATGAAGAGCCGTGTGGGGATGTTATGAGAGGTAACTATAATTTTCATGTTTTGGACCATAAATTCTTTTTCTTCCTTCTCATGGGCAACATAATCTAAAAGAATTCGGAAAAGTGTGCCATTGGAGGTCTCAAGGATGTGCAGAAAGGTACTTGAGTATATGAGCAGTAATCCTGTAACTGCTTCTCCTAGGTGATGCTTCAGAATTGTCTGAAATAGTTTTTCATAGTATTCAGAAATCTCCTTTTTCTCTACATTGGCTTGTAAGTGGCCCACAAGAAACATCCTGTGAAGGAGGAATTTCTTTAGCTGTAGCCTGTGCTTCTCTTCCTGAAGGTGCATGTAATTGGTTCGAGGAACTTTGGGCATTAGAAGAGGATCCACCTGAAAATGCTTTTTGCTGCTCTTCTGATTATGGACCATGAAAGACATGTTGAGTCTTATTTCTTCTAGATGATTAAAGTCTCACTGGTGATGAACTCTTGTTTTTATATCTTCTAGCAAAACAGCAAACAAACAAACAAACACATAGGAGTTAACTGTTAGGTGTTAATGAGTAGCAATATCTCTGCTCAGTGCTACAATGTCTTTGACATGGAAGCTAATGTGAAAATGAGATTGGAAGAAAAGTGATGGTTTCTGAGTTCACAGTGAAATAACTATCATGCTCTAGGAAAAGCCCTCCCTGTGTGATGGTGATTATGCATTATACCTGAGGCTTTTTAAATGGTGTTTTCATGGTAAGTGATGTATCTAACATTCAAAATAAATTTATAACTGGATTGTAAAGTAAAAATAAACCAGGTGTACTCTAGGCTATTATTAGCTTATTTAACAGTTATTGTCAATACTAAAAGTCAATAATCTTGCATTAATCATAACAGTAAACTTTGAGAGCAAAAGTTATTTGGTTTATCCGTCCATCAATAAATCTCCTCTTTTTACTCTTTTATTAAGATTTAAATAAAAGCAGACCTCTGCTTTGACTGAATCTTATGTTCCTGCCCCACTCCCAGGCCATCTTAACTCACTCCCAGGCCACCTTAACTATCGTCACATGAGATAGACATTTACCTGTCTTTGAGGTCCTCTTGGCTTGACCTCTGTCATGCCTCCAACTGCCAGTGCCCTGATCCCTCAACTGTCCTATCCAGGGTTCTAAACCCATAGGTCATGAAAGGAGTTAGAATGTCTTTGGCATCAAAGAGTCAGAGTGTCTTAGATCTACTTTCTTGAGAGTATCCCAACAAACACCTCTGCAGCACTATGGGTTGTGGGGGAAATGAGGGCTTCTCTTTCAGAGCGCCTTTTGTTCTTTCTGGTGTTGGTTTTTGTTTGTTTTTTATACACATCCTTGCCTATCAGATGTGTGGCAGATGTGAGCACCTTCCTCTATGTCTCAGCTATGGTGGTAGAGCTAGCACCTATAGTTAACTTACACACTAGTTACAGAACATAGGAGTATATATCTGAATTTCTCTAATAATGAATCTATTACAAAAGTGTTTTACAATACAACTTGGGCTACTTGATGTGAATTTAAGCTAATTTTTAGAATTGAAAATAAAGCCACCTTTTAATATTATACTCACATGAGCTCTAAACAACAATTTTAATGTGACAAGGCTAGAAAACACTTCTATTTAATTAAAAAAATGAACCTGAGAGAACTTTTTTTCTCCTGAGATTTTCATTATTCAAACTAATGATCTGGTTTTAATAATTTGCAGTGATAAATTATTCCAGAGAATGAAGGCTGAGAGGTGATTTAATAAATCTTTAATTGTGTGAAACATAACAATCGACCATCATTCTTCACTCACTGTGATTTGCCTCATCACTCACTGAATCTCCCCCAACGTGTTCACTTAGTCAACGCTTTGTCTGGGGCTGTTATTCTTTTCATTCTCCTTATTTCTTGTGAAACAGGACAGTTTTGGCTACAGTCTCCAACAATTCCCCTTTATTCCCTGGTTTCTAGGAACTGGATGGCCCTAATATTTTTCTTCCAAATCTCTGAGTATGATTCTTTTGGCATCAGGCTCTGGACAATGCTGATTTTCATAACAATAATTTATTATCATAAAGATATAATTTTCATATGCTGTCATCATAAAGACCACACACCCTGCTTCCTTGCCTCTGAATTTTTGTGAGGATATCAGAAGATACCTCCATGCTACTCCTGCCTCCTGATTGCATAATTGATGCAGTGAATTGATCCTTCTGATCCTTTTGTTCAGAAACTTCAAGGTGAACACAACTAGTTGACTGACACTGACCAAAAAAACTGAGCCCCTTCAAATATCTCTTTACAGAAAATTCTTACATCATTTCCCCTAGTCACTTATGACTCTTCTTTCCATAGATGTCAAATCTACTCTTTCAAAATTTAGATACCTAGCTCATAAATATTATTTTTATTAAGTTTTTTTTTGCAAAAATTGTTTAGTGCCAAATGGTCAGTCCCTTGAAAGCATACAAAGAGGTAACATTATATAGACCTAACAGATTATATTTAGGAGTATACATGCATACACATATATACATACAATAACAATTAGTGCCAAAATAGGCCAAGAATTTGAAGATGAACCGGAAGTGTATATGGGTTGGCTTGGAGGGAGGAATGTTAAGGGAGAAATATAATTATATTAAAATCTTAAAAATAAAGTACCTCAAAATAATTAAAAGAAATTCCTTATTAATATCTGCATTACTTTTCTGTCTGTTAGTTTCTAGATCAAAACCATTTGTTTTGTCTTCTTATATTTCTTAAAAGTTAATCCAAAATCATATTCCTTACCTTCTTTTTAAAATCCTTATTAAAATTAAAAACAATCTTATTTTACATACCAAGCTCAGTTCCCTCTCATCCTCCCATTCCTTTCATTCCCCACTCCATCTCCCCATTCCGCCACCATTCACTCCTCAGAGAGGGTGAGGCCTCCCATGGGGGATCATCAAAGTCCATCACATCCTTTGGGGCAGGGCCTAGGCCCTCCCCTGTGTCTCTAGGCTGAGAGAGTATCCCTCCATAGGGAATGATCTCCAAAAGCCCGTTCATGCACTAGGGATAAATACTGGTTCCACTGCCAGTGGCCACATAGGCTGTCCAAGCCCTGCTACTGACACCACGTTCAGGGGGCCTCCTTTGGTCTTTAAAAACTCATAGTTTGCTAGAGGTGGTGTCTCATGTCTTTAATAAAAGAATGTGGAGACATTAGCAGAGGGATGGATTTTTGAGCTTGAGGCAAGCCTCGGTCTATAAATCAAGTTCTAGGACAGCCAGGGATACACAGGGAAACCCTGTCCTGAACACCCACCCTCAAAATCCTTATTTTAAAATTCTTGATCTCTGCTGCTTCCTTTATAAACCCTCTTGATCTCTCCACCACAAATATTAATCTCAGAGTAAAAATGTAAGCCTGTATGATAATTCATAGAGATATGTTTGTATTTTATAATGATTTTACAGAGTCCTTGCTGCTACTTGGATGCTAGAAAAGGAGGCTCTACATTGGATTGGTGCAGAATCATCTGTTACATTTTTACCAAATCCAGTGATGAAATAGACTAGAGTGAACATAAGGATGTGTAACAGAATGGCTTCTACCTAATGCTAGTACTGCTCATTGTCATCAGGGTCTTTCTGAATCCACAAAGTCAAACAAACCTTTCATGTGATTCTTTTTCATCGGGTATTCTCTGTTTAGAGCACAATTTCCTCGCAAGGGCCAGTCTTCAAAAGAAGGTTAACTGTAGGATTATTATCCTACCTTATATGTTTTCTCTCATTCATATATCTTTTTTGATTATAGCATGTGCTCAGAAAGAGCAATTGAGAAGAGAAGGTAATCTGAAAATGGGCTTCGAGTGAGATTTCAACTCTCTTGCCACATTGACGCCATCTTTTGGGGGCTCCGTAAATACTTAAAATAATCAAAAGTACATATTAGTTCTTGCCTTCACCCATCTCTTCTTTTTGCCCATAAAGCCTGGATCCCCTGCATCACTTCAGATGAACTGCTTCTTAAGATTTTTGTTTCTACTGGCATTACAGCCTGATAGGCTCCTCTGCTTCTCTGATGAATGAAACCTCTTCTTGAGATTATGTGTGCCTTTCTCCTTCATGCTCCTATGAAAAGAGTTCAGTGGTGGTCTCTTCCCTCCCAATGTGTGGATTTTATCACCATTCTCTTTCACATATATTTTTATTTCTATTATAAAACTAATAGAAAGATGATGTTTCATCATTTTAAATAGGTAATATTTCAACTAAACCAGTCATGTTTCAAAACATGCTAATCTCTGAACAAAGCCTAATTGGTGTCAGATTTAAAAAACATGAATCACCATTTCTTTAATTTAAAAACTATCTGATTGTGACAACTTTGTGTGGTTCAATGTAATGCATCTAAAACAACAGTTTTGCTACCCAAAATATTTATATAGTTTGATTCTATTGCCATAGTGTATTTTTCCTGTTTCTCAAATGTTACTTACAATGCCCACCTGAATTATAGTATTAATGTCGCATGACTATCTAAAAAGTTAAAGTGGTATTTATCCGGTTTTCTTTCTTTTTGTCAATTATACTAAGATGTCATCAACAAAAAGAGAAGAGAACAACATTTAGTTTGAACAATTTCTGATTGATTAGAATGAATAACTACAGTTGCAAACTTTTGTTTTAGTGGACATTCATATATCTGAGGTCCCAAGCACCACAATCCTTGTTATCCATTACTGGTGGTGACTCCAACAGAATTCTCTGTATATACCTGGGTTAAGAGGCATTTGCCTTATTTTATCCAGAGTGATCAAGTTGGAGTGGCTTGTCCATGGTCAAGTTTTAAGCACTTACCAATAAATAGGAAATTGTAGAGTTAATTATTCTACTTACACAATCTATTATTGCATACCAGCTTATTTCTCATATCATACTCATAATGTATGTCAAACAGTACATCTTGTGATTTCTTACAGACTTCATACTTTAAGTTTGTTGTCCAGAATCAAGTGTTCTTTAATAAACTCCCAAATGTACTTTGTCTGTGTAGGACACATAGGCCAAAGACAGAGAAAATTAAATGTCATTAATAGCCTGCAGTAGGTACTTTTTCATACACTCCTTTAATATTCATAATAAGCCCTCTTAGAGTGTTTATTGTGAGATACATAATATTATAGGTCTATTTAGGCAGTTGGACATTCTTTTCACAGTTTTTAGGGGAAGATGTTAAAATGGAGGATAGCTAAATAATTTACACATTTTTCAAGTCCACCTTAACAGTTTCCTTGTCATGCTTACATTAAAGCCTCATCCACACCAGTAATGCTGTTTGTAGGTACATGGATCCACTTCACACAGAAGACAGAGCTCCTCATTATAGCAATGTCTATTGCAAAGGCATGGCAATCTCCTGGAATTCTACTGCCAGGTTCAGTACATTTTTAACTAACAGATCAGAGTTCTTAACAAGTTGCCAACTTAGCTCAATACAGTACATTAACTGGTCTATTATTGCTTTCTGGATGACTACTTAAGAAGACATAGATCCTATTGCATCTGGATAAAAGTAAATGTAAGGGAAATATCTACATAATAACTGCAATTCAACAAAATTATCCTTCTCTTGATAGCTGGTCATTTATCTTAGATAAATGCAAGATGTGAAAACATATACTCTTCCTAATTTAGGGGAGCAGAGTCTAGTAGGGTTGGTGAAATGTTCATGAGTCTCAGATACTCTTAGAAAGTCAGGTGTGTGAAGGGTTTAGGAGCATTGAAATAGAAAGGATAGCTGGGTTTTCCTAGTGTCAGAGTTCTTCCATTAGCTTCATCTTAAGGGGGAAGGGGTTTCTAAGCTACTCTTCTATTGATGGGAAGAGACAGCATAGCCAAGGAAACTTACAAAAGATAAGCATGTAGCTGGGGTCTTGCTATTAGTTTCCGAGGGTGAGTCCATGCATTATGGCAGAAAGCTTGACAGCAAGCAGATATGTATGGTGCTGGAGCAACAGCTCAGAGCTCATGCTTGACCCTGAAGCATGAAAAGGAGAGATGGAGAGATTAGGCCTGAAGGGAGTTTTTTAAACCTTGAGGCCTATCCCCAGTTACACACATCTCCA